GGCTTAGTTCAAGAAAAGTGGTTATTTCTCGATTTAAGAGCGAGTAAAGTTATTTTCTGTGAGTTATGTTCATTGTATGGACTTTATTTCTATTTCTAGAATATTAGTCATTGCATATTATGTCTACAGCATTCTGAGGCCATCAGGTGTGCCTCAAATGAAAAGGTGCAGTCCCCTTGCACCTTTTGTGCCTTATATTAGTGTGTGCCTGTGCTTTGCCCTTGTGCATTGCCTCTTGCCTACAAGACCCCTTACGTGTCTAGGTGTGCCTAGTGCATGTTAAGGCTTAACTGATTAGTTTCCTGAAAGGTAAATGGGGATGGAATAGTATTTCACTCTTGATTGAACCAATTGGAATGTGGCTATGAGTTCTTGCCCATATTTGATGTATGTTGAATGGTTTTTCCATAACTTTTTAATTCTTAAATGTTGGAATGATTGTCCTTCTATTTTAGAAGTATCCCTTTTTTTCTTCGACTTATCTTAGAATCTTTTTCAACTTTTGAATTCTTAAATGTTTGGTATTGTAAAATCCTGAAATTCTTGTGCCAGCTTATCTTAGTAAATTTGAATCTTTAGAGCCACTTTGATCATGCTATGTCTATGTCTTTCATTGCTATTCAATTTTCTGTTTTAACACGGTATTCACTTTCCTGTATTCAGCAAATAGCAGATGGTTGTTTAATATGGGAGGGGTGGTCTAGCAAATTATCTTGGAAGGGCCAGAGGGTTAGTTTGTTATAATGAAGGTTAAGGCAGGTTGGTGTTTAGTTTTAGTTCATCTCATATCACAAGTAAAGGACATATTGAATTCAGGAATTTAAGATATTGATTGAATGAATAGAATGCTCTAGATAAGGCAACACTTTAACAATGTCTGTGTCAGGGCTTGTGATTTTTCTGATGCATATCTGTTCATGTTATAATCCTGGGTTAACTTTTATTAGCCTTAGGGTGCAACATATAAGCTGTTTTACATTTCTACATGAAGCTCTTATGTAATATCTGCTGGATCTGTGGATGCACTGTATAAGCCTTTCACATATTTCACAATTGCCTATGCTAGCATGCTGCCGGTATTGATAACTATGCTAACTAGACTGTCACCTTTAGGTTTAATTACATGTAATTTCGAACTTTATCTCCTTTATTTCTGAATTTGTTAAATTGCTTACTTGCTCCCACAGGATCGTCGATGATGGTTTGTGACTTGTGAGCCATTTTCTAAAGACCTATAGACGGATTACAATGGGCTATTTTCACAGATTCTGTTGAGCCATTGCCTTAATGGAGATGATTTTTGCTTGATGTGTGGAGCTCTAGAAATAAATGTGAAATTTTGTAATTTTAGGTCTCTCCTTTTTTTTTTGTTTTGTTTTGTTTTATTATTTTCTAAGTTTGTAAATGGCCATTATTAATTTTCTAAAAGTAGTATATCAAAAATACCAAGTGTATAAAGTTGGAATACTAATGCATCCTTTGTTTGCTGAGGTGGGATGGCTAAAAAAATTGGCATGGTGAGCTGGAATTACTCCAGGCAGTCTTGGATGTAATTGAGTTTGCAAATTGATGGAGACTAAGAGTCCGTTTGGTTGGCCGGAAATTAGATTTCGGGGGACCTCACTGTATAAAGTTTACCATCATTTGTGACTTTGTCCGTGGAAGTTGCAATTTCTCTTGGTTCTGAGCAAATTTCTAAATTGAAAATTCTGTTCTGCCATGATTTGGGTTCTTAGTTGGAAAGAAACCTTACTTGGTCATGTCCGGGAAAAGTGACATTTGAATGCATTTATAAATGGTTAATAAATCTCTAAATAGTATAAAAATATAGTATTTTTTGAATGATTATCTATATTAAAATTATTTTAAAATTTTATAATGTATAATTTATATGAATAAAATTTAATCATTATTTTCATAGAATATAAAAATTATATAAGTTACATTAATATGATTAATTAGTCAAAGAATAACATTTTACATGTGAAGAGGAGTTGGTGAGGGCGGGGGGCGACCTTTTTTTTCCCCTCACATGGCATGCACTAGGAGAAAAATAAATATCCAGGAAAATAAATAATGGATGATTTGGGGGGCATTCAGAAGAAATGATGGATGATTAATATGGGAGGCGGAGGCGGAGGGGTGTCATCGCATGTATTGGACACTATGAAATTTTGACAGCCAATGAAAAATTTGGGAAAATTTTGGGGAAAGTGATGGTTTTTTATGGAAGTGATGTCAGGGGTTTTTTTTTTTTAATTAAAGCCCCTATTCAAAAACCCCTAAGGGAGGTCTCTGGGCCAAGAGGGGTTAATTATCCACAAATATCTCCATTCCATGAAATACATGACATGACAAACAAAAAGTTAGAAAAATCAATACATGTTAGACATGACAAACAAAAGTTAGAAAAATCAATACATGTTAGACTAATTGCAATACATGACATGACAAACAAAAGTTAGAAAATTTAGACTTATTGCAATACATGACATGACAAACAAAAAGTTAGAAAAATCAATACATGTTAGACTAATTGCCTCAATAAATTGCCTCAATAAATATGGCTTTGGCCATATTGAACTCAAACAACAAAAAGATAATGGATGATTCAGACATCGAAGCAGCGGCAATATTGCTCGAAATGCAAGCAGCAGCAGCACTCAATTTTCAAATTCTGCCAGAAGCTCGTCAACCAAATGCAGCCAACGCCCCCCCTCCAAATAACTTAAGGGCAGCCGTCCACGGACCTCCAGGAGTCCCTGATAAATGGGGTGCAAGAAGACGTCGTTCTGCAAGACCACATCAACCAAATGCAGCCAACGCCCCTCCAAATAACTTAAGGGCAGCCGTCCACGGACCTCCAGGAGTCCCTGATAAATGGGGTGCAAGAAGACGTCGTTCTGCAAGACCACAGCATCAATCAGTGGCATCGGTTGAGTGCGGTGCAAGAAGAGCACGTTCAGCAAGAGGCAGGTTGCAAGATTAATCTATTTCAATTAGAGAAAATGTTTTTTTGTTTACACCTATGTTTATTACTGTGGCATAACTAATGTGCGTTCTGCAAATTGCTTATGTAAAAAAAACACAAATTGGCACAGCAAATCAGCCCCTATACCGTTCAGCAAGAGGCAGTTTGCAAGATTAATCTATTTCAATTAGAGAAAAATTTTTTTGTTTATACCTATGTTTCTAATCTTTTAAGTTGTTATTTTGATTACCTTTTATCATATATAATTATTGTTTAACTTTTAAGTTATATTATGAACTATTTTTTGAACTTTTTTTTGGTACATCAAAGTTATTAAAAGTTTAGTTTCTAAGGAATATAATCCCAATACAATCATTTTGTAAAATATATTATGAATTATTAAGTATTAA